AGAGAGAAAAGAGAAAAAAAGATAGAGTGAAAGAGAGAGAAAACAAGTTTCAAGGGACCTCTGAATCCCAGTGAAATGAGAGACACATGAAACGACGTACGAGAATGCGCCCTCTCGATAATGACAGAAAATTGCTCGCTTTCAACTTACACAGCAAGCTTACCCGGCACTTAATTCAATTCAATTGCGATACAGTTCAATAATTCGATTAATTAAAAAATATTCCCAGCGTCGCTCAGCCTCTCGGTATCTAACGAAAATTCTATTTCAAAAAGGTCCCGCCACAGTCGCGCAACATTATACGCGCAACAAAAAGAGAGAAAGAAAAAAAAAACACCCCACACACTCACACAAAACCGGAAATAAGCCCCTAGTGGCCTCAGAGAGAACCACTGACACTGACGCGCCGAGTGCTATGCGAATTCAAATTAATTGATACCGAGTACACTATATATATATACATACACGACTCTCGATATTCCCATATCATCTGTGATTACTTTATTATGAGCTCTAAGTGGACGAGAGATCCTTCTAAAAAAAAAAAAAATAAAAAAAAATGAGCAAGAGGCCATTTGTAAATTTTTCTCCCATTTTTTGTTGTTGTTGTGTTTTGTCAAAACAAATAACATGAACAAAAAACAAAACAAAAAAAAAAAGAAAAACTTTTCCCTTGAGGCTTACAAACTCCAATCCATTTGTTAAAAAAAACCCCATTATCCAAGCGTAATAGACAAATCGTGCTTTCGTAAACTGTTTTGTCCTGATGCTTCGAAAAAGCGACAGGCAAAGAAAAAGGAAAATTACGTTTCAACATTTATCAGTATAGAGATTTGTCAAATACGAGATAGAGAGAGAGAGAGTGCTGAATAGATTTTAAAGGACAATTTTTTTTATTTCTGATATTGTTATAAATTCATTGTTCTATATTTGAAAGAGGTAATTAAATCTTACCTCTGCTTTGGTCAATTTAGAATTAAAAGCGATGAAAAAAGAAATTGGAAATAAATTCAAAACTTAAAAAGTAGATTGGAAATTTATTCACTAACGCAGGAAAAAAGTTTTATAGTATTTTATTAGCTTTACGCTTTTTATAAGAGAATTTTCTCGCCATCTTAACGGCGAAATTCAAAAATAAAAAAAGTTTGATTAATAATATTAGTAATTTTTAATTCCATATAGTCAATAAAGTGACCATTATTGCCCTAGGAAAATAAAGTGGTCAATAAAGTAACTATTAATGCTCTAGGGCAATAATGTGTTCTTTATTGATCGCTGGGCATAAAATTTCCTACATTCAAGAATAAATTTTCTCAATTAAAAAAAAAAAGATATAAAATACAATTTTTTTAAAAGGATTAGTTATGAATTGAATTTCTCAGTAAATAAGTAGCCATGCCGCATAAGTTGGAAGGCGCGGGTGTCTCTCTCTCTCTCTCTCTCTTTGCGCGAGTTGGATATTTTTTCTTTTTCGACTCTTTGAAAAATGGCGACCGACAGTTTTCTCCTTTCCTGCCAGACATTCAAGATATTATAATTCGCTGGGGTATCAGGATGATAATAATAACGCGTTAATTAAAGCCGTTGATTTATGCGCCTTTCATATTGTAATTACCTACCGAACTTGACTCGACTTGGAGCGAGCAAACCCGAGAGTCTGGAGACAATCTTTAACTCCCCGGAAGGGTAATGAGAATAAATTAATTAATCAAGGCGCAATTAATACCAACTGTAAACCCCGCACGCTACGTCAAGCACTTTTTAAGTACACGGATTTACGATATTTTTCTTTCTTTTTTTTTTTTTTTGTTTTTTTTTTACTGTTTCCTTTTTCAATTTTATTCTTGCGATAATATTTTACGTAACTTTAACAACCTATCAATTACCTAATCGAAAAAAACCTGTAATATTAATTTTCAATTGCTGTATATGTTTCATTTCAGTGATGAAAATTTTTTCTTCTCTTTTCATTATTTGTTTTTTGATTGTTAATTTGATTCGTTTTAATTTTATGATTTTTATGCAATTTTAGCTTTTCTCGAGAATTCATTTGGCATTGAATTGGAACAATTTTTTGTAATCCATATATTTTTTAATTACTATTAAAATCGTACAGTGTTTAAATAAATAAATAAATAATTTTATAATTTGTGTTATTAAATATTATTATAACTTATAAAATTTATAATATATAAACTGTTTGTTTACATTTTTAATAAGTAAACTGTAAGTGTTCGACAATAACTTTTTTTATTATTTTATAGTACTTATTAATTAGTAATATTTTTATTATTAAATTATAAATATCAACTTCATATTTTTACTTAATTACTAGAAGTCATTATTTCTACTTTTTTACAGCCACTTTCATTTTAAGACCATCCTCTATTATTATATTAAGTTAATGTACGACCGACCGACCGACCGACCGACCGACTCACACCTCTTTCTATTCTGTCTAACATCTACTAAAACACTTCACTCATACACATGTCCAAAAAACATTTACCCATGTATGACATGCGCAGTAGTGTTCTATGAGTATTACACATGCGCAGTAGTGTTCTATGAATGTCACGCATGCGCAGTAGTGTTCTATGAATGTCACGCATGCGCAGTAGTGTTCTATCAATGTCACACATGCAAAGTAGTATTCTATCAGTGTCACGCATGCGCAGTAGTGTTCTATCAATGTCACACATGCGCAGTAGTGTTCTATGAGTATTACACATGCGCAGTAGTGTTCTATGAATGTCACGCATGCGCAGTAGTGTTCTATGAATGTCAGACATGCGCAGTAATGTTCTATGAATATTAGTCATGCGCAGTAGTGTTCTATGAATATTAGTCATGCGCAGTAGTGTTCTATGAGTATTATACATGCGCAGTAGTGTTCTATGAATGTCACGCATGCGCAGTAGTGTTCTATCAATGTCACACATGCGCAGTAGTGTTCTATGAGTATTACACATGCGCAGTAGTGTTCTATGAATGTCACGCATGCGCAGTAGTGTTCTATGAATGTCAGACATGCGCAGTAATGTTCTATGAATATTAGTCATGCGCAGTAATGTTCTATGAATATTAGTCATGCGCAGTAGTGTTCTATGAATATTAGTCATGCGCAGTAGTGTTCTATGAGTATTATACATGCGCAGTAGTGTTCTATGAATGTCACGCATGCGCAGTAGTGTTCTATCAATGTCACACATGCGCAGTAGTGTTCTATGAGTATTACACATGCGCAGTAGTGTTCTATAAATGTCACGCATGCGCAGTAGTGTTCTATGAATGTCAGACATGCGCAGTAATGTTCTATGAATATTAGTCATGCGCAGTAGTGTTCTATGAATATTAGTCATGCGCAGTAGTGTTCTATGAGTATTATACATGCGCAGTAGTGTTCTATGAATGTCACGCATGCGCAGTAGTGTTCTATGAGTATTAAACATGCGCAGTAGTGTTCTATGAATATTAGTCATGCGCAGTAGTGTTCTATGAGTATTATACATGCGCAGTAGTGTTCTATGAGTATTATACATGCGCAGTAGTGTTCTATGAATGTCACGCATGCGCAGTAGTGTTCTATGAGTATCACGCATGCGCAGTAGTGTTCTATAAATATCAGGCATGCGCAGTAGTGTTCTATGAACATTAGGCATGCACAGTAGTGTTCTATGAGTATCACGCATACGCAGTAATGTTTTGTCAATGTCAGGAATAAAATAAAATGCTATAAAAATAGCAAATAAAAATGCTACTGTCATCATGATGGTTATTTTCATAAATGCTGATATCTAAAAATTACAAAAACATTAATTAATATAATATCGTCTGTAGCATGATGAATTTTTTTAAAGACAATAACCATTAACTAGTTGAAAAAATTCTTGCAAACATTATTAATATATATACATTCAAATAATAAGAAATTTATAATTTTAATCAAAGGTTATGTCATCATATTATGAAATTTCTTAAATTCTCTGAGCATTTTCCCTGACCTGCGCGACATTTCAAAAATATTACCAGTTTTTTTTATATTAAAATTATCAATTTTCAATTTCTCAATATGATTATTTTTGTATAATTATTTTATGTTTATCATTGAATTAATCTGAAAAGATGTAAGTAAGATCGGAATATTTTCTAATCTCTATTTTTAATTACCTTTTGATACTGCAAATATTTGGGACAAAGAAACATTATTTTCATCTCGTTTAAAAATGGTGCTGATGGTGCAATTTAAAAACCTACGTATCTAGAAAATAATGTTTTTTTAAATAGGGAAAACGGTGGACATTCTACACTGCGCAATTTTTAGTCTAAGACAAAAACTTAAAATTTTTTATAATTCTTATTTTGAGGATTTCTCTTCTTTTTGTAGCATTTTTTCCTCTTACATATGGGAACTAAAGTTTTCCTTTCTAATTTTGAGGATTTTTCTCTTTTCTATGTGAATTTATTCAATTCTAGTTTTGTTATTGTTAATTAAATTATTGATGTAATATTCCATTTGTTGAAAGAAATTTTCTTGTTGACTTATCAATGTTTCTAAATTTTTATTCAATTTTTTATTATATATTATATTCACGGACGGATTTCTTTTGCATGAACTTGTTACTAGAGTTCCCTAGAAAAATTTGATGAGGTACAAAAAAATTGACTAAATCAAAGGGAAAAAATAGTTCCAATAATAAATGAAAAAAAGGGAGAGAATAAGAAGAAGGATATGGATTTAAAAAAAGGAATAATTTCATTTACCATTAAATACATTATTTTTCAAATAATTTCCTTCTTTTTATTTAAATGTAAATTAAATTTTTTAACATATAAAATTCTATAAATGTCATGTGTCATAATTAATCAACATTTCCAATTTCAAAATGATTATTAAGTCCATTTAAATTTTCCAAGTACTCTTGACAACTTTTTTCTTCTGCTTCTTCTTCTTCTTCTTTTCTCCTTATTGCTTCTTGAATTTCCATTTCTTTATCTACTCCTTCTTGTTCTTCATCTTCTTCTTCCTCGTCTCGTTGCATTGCAACTTGTTCCTCATCCTGCTCCATTGCAACTTGTTCATCATCATCATCATCATCATCATCATCATCATCATCATCATCATCATGACCAAATTCTCCATCTTCTTCCCGCAATAAATTAAAAAAAATTAATTTTGGCCTATCTTCTGCATCATCATCATCATGAAAACTATTCATGATTCGTTGGAAATGAAAATAATCAATTTCAATTGACAACAAAATCTAGAAAAATAAAAAAAAATAAATAAAAAGAAACCATTCAATTAATACAGTCGTATCTTGGTAATTAAAAGTTGAAAGGATTGAGAAAAAACTTTCAATTACCAAGAGTTTCAAATTACTGAGAGGTTCAAATTAAGAGACTTTAAACTCAAACTACTGAAAATAAAACAGTGAATAATAAATAATGTTTCTTAAGGGGTTACATAGGTCAAAACGACCTGAAAACGTATGTTTTTTTAATAATTTTTTTTTCATAAAATAAATAAATTTTTTTATTTGAACACTTTGGTATCTGAAAGTACACTATCAAATGAGAAAGATATTAAATTTTTGATAAAAAATATTAAAAATCAGGCCCGTAGCAACAGTTCTTCGGGCCCCTTTCAAAAAAATTGCTTTTGCGGTGGTCAAGATATCTTTTGACTGCTTCATTTTAAATCAAAATACAAAAAATTTTCTGTTAGTAGGTGAATATATCTCGTGATTGAACGAAGGGTTTTCAAAGAAATTGAAATTTGGATTTCAAGGGACCAACAGTTTGCTTTGAATTATAAACAAGTGTTTCAAATTATCAAAGGTTTGAATTTTCAAGAGTCGACTGTATTTATATAATGTAATTTTTATTTATTAATTAAAAATTATTTAAACAATAGACTCAATTTATTGTTTAATAAATAAAAAATACAATTTTTAAAAAATTAAAAAGAAGGAAATTTATAATAAACAGGAAAAAAAAATAAAAATACACAGAAGATAAAAAAAACGAAAACAAAAAATGAAAACAAAGAGAGCCACATAAAAATGGTGAAATTGAATGAAAAAATAGAATAAAAATAATAAATAAATTAATTAATTAATAAAAATAATTTTAAAAGAAAATAATGGAAAAGAATAGCGTAAAATTTGAAAAAAAGAAATTTTCTTTTCATTATTAAAAAAAGAGAAAGATATATATTTAATAATTTTTTTAATATTACTATTTCAATATTATAACTTAATGTAATAAAATATATATAAATTATTTTACAAATTATTACCTGTAAGATTATCATCACGGTATGCTTCAATGAAACATTTTATGTTAATACTTTATTACATAGTAATTTAATAATTTTTATTATTAGACGCAGCCGATATTGTTCAGCGCTGTCATTTATTATTTATTGTTTATTTAACTTTATTTTTTAGACATTTTTATTGATCCTTCAAATATTGTAATTACTTTATTTTTTAAAAGACGCAGCCGATATTGTTCAGCGCTGTCTTTTAATATTGCTTTGTAATAGTTATTATTATTGTCAGATATGATTTAGTTTTCACTTAAAGACGCAGCCGATATTGTTCAGCGCTGATTTTAATTTTGCTACTTTATTTTTTATATCATTTTTGTCATTATTTAGTTATATTTAAAAAACGCTGCCAGTATTATTTAGCGCTGTCTTTCTTAATTGTCAGTTTCTTAACTATTTGCTTTTCATCTGTTTCATATAGTTTTTCTTAAAATACGCAGCCGTTATTTTTCAGCGCGTTACTAAACGTTTATAATTGTGGCTTAGTAATCTAAGATTTCAGTGAAAACAATATTTCTTACATATGCTTCTTGTTCTTTATTTTTCTTATTAATATTAAGAATATATGAAACATTTTATGTCAATACTTTATTACATAGTAATTTAATAATTTTTATTATTAGACGCAGCCGATATTGTTCAGCGCTGTCATCTGTTATTTATTGTTTATTTAACTTTATTTTTTAGACATTTTTATTGATAGTTCAAATATTGTAATTACTTTATTTTTTAAAAGACGCAGCCGATATTGTTCAGCGCTGTCTTTTAATATTTCTTTGTAATAGTTATTATTATTTTCAGATATGATTTACTTTTTACTTAAAGACGCAGCTGATATAGTATAGCGCTGACTTTAATTTTGCTATTTTATTTTTTATATCATGTTTGTCATTATTTAGTTATATTTAAAAACGCTGCCAGTATTATTTAGCGCTGTCTTGCTTAATTGTCAGTTTCTTAACTTTTTGCTTTTCATCTGTTTCATATAGTTGTTATTAAAATACGCAGCCGTTATTTTTCGGCGCGTTACTAAACGTTTATGATTGTGGCTTAGCAATCTAAGACTTCAGTGAAAACAATATTTCTTACATATGTTTCTTGTTCTTTATTTTTTTTATTATTATTAAGAATATATGAATTTGAAGTTAATAATACTTTTAAATTCATTTTAGAAGTTACTCTTGAGAAAGCTACATATAATTGTCCATGACTAAAAACATGTGATGGTAAGTATACTCCCACTTTTGAAAATGATTGACCTTGAGATTTATTTATAGTTAAAGCAAATCCTAATCTTACTGGAAATTGTTTTCTGGACATATTAAATGGTATTTCTTCATTAGAAGGTGACAATGTTATTCGTGGCAGTATTACAATTTCATTTTTGTAATTACCGGTAAGTATTTGGGCATAAATGGTATAATTTTCCAATTTTATAATTTTTAATCTTACTCCATTACAAAGACCTTTTTCTAAATTAATATTTCTTAAGAGTATCACAATTGCTCCAATTTTTAAACATAATTTATGCGGTGGAAGTCCATTTGGAGTAAGTGTATTTAAAATTTCAGTTGGCACAAGTTTATTTAATGTATTATCTTCTTCATCTTCCTCACATAAATCTATACTTAAATATTCCCTACTTTTGCCACTAATTCTTTCAAGAATTTCATTATTTAATTCAAATACATCATTATTTCGTGGCGCTAATATTATTTTTTCGTGGATGTCATGATCGTTTGGGTTAATTTCATTACCATATATTTCTGTTATTATGTCGTTGTTGCATATTATTTCTTTAGGCAGTAATACTGCTTGGTTTTTCTCTTCAAATTGATTATTAAACTTTCCATTTCCAACCTGCAGGAGCCATGAGTTAAAAAGTTTGTCATTATCAGATAGTCTTAAATTTTCACTTAACGTGAAGCATCTAAAATTCAACCATAAAATACTGTTTTTAACACAGTTATTTACAATTTGAGTCCTGTTTCCATGTCTAACAATTGGTAATGTTTGCCTAAAATCACCTGAAGTAATTATAATTTTATTTCCAAAAATTTTATTATTATGACATAGGTCTCTTAATAATCTATCTACAGCTTCAAATGCATATCTGGATGTCATTGTTATCTCATCCCAAATTATAACTTCACAATTTTTAATTTTATTACCGTCAATTGTGTTTGCCTTTATGTTACACGTTGTTTGTTCATTGATTGTTAACGGTAACTTAAATACTGTGTGCACAGTTTTGCCACCAATTAATAAATTTGCTGCGATTCCAGTCCATGCCACAGATAAAACAGGAATCTTGTTCATTTCAAAATAGCCAATTAATGCATTTAATAAATAGCTTTTTCCGCAACCACCTGGACCATCAATAAAAAAATTTCTATTTACATTTTTATTATTAACTGCATTTGTTACAGAAGTAAATATATATGTCTGACTTTTTGTTAAAGTGTTTATAATTCTTCCATTATCGATATTATTTGTAAGTTGTGAATTAAAGTCAGTGTTATATATTCGAAAATCAGATAAATCTTTTATTGTCGGTAGATGAAAATCTTGTAAAGAAAAGGAATTCATCGTTAAAATATTATTAATTATCTGTAAAGCCCACAGTTCCCCTTGATCCTGTTGCATTTTAGGAAAATAAAAATGCATTTTATACTTTTCATACAATTCTCTAGCATTAATTGGGTTATGATATACACATATATAGGCAAAAAGTTCACATATTGCTCTTGGTAACTGTACTTTGCAAGCTTCGTCAAGACATTTATCCCATTCATCTTCAGCTGATATCAATTGCCTCTCTTTAGCGGCTTCAAAAAATGTTGGAAAAACTACATCATTAACTGTTCGTATATCTGTAAAGGATGTAGGACCTTTCACATGCAATAGTAGTAATCGAAGATGAAATTTTTCACGTTGACGTGGACTAACTAAATACATTCTACTTATGACAGGTTTCCTTATCATTTTTCTTTTAGTCCATTTTTTTGTACTTTTATTAAAGACATAGTGTTGAGGGATGTCAAGATATAATAAATTCCTAGCATATGCATCTATTTTATTTAATTCAAACCATGCAGTAAGTGTAGTGTGGACGTTCTTGTTCAAAAATTGTTCTTCTTGACCTTCTTTAAAATATATATTTTGTTCGTTTTCATTATGAATAGCTAATCTGTAAATTGTATGTGACAAATCATGAAGTGGAAATTCAAATATCCTATACATTGCTTCAGGAGGACATACATATCTTGTATTTATGTATTGCTTTATCTCATCATATGCTATACTATTATCTTTAACTATATTTACCTCACTGTTGTCATCATTTTCAATAACTGGTGTATTAGGCATACTCTTCATTTCTATAAGAGCACAGTCATGTCCTTTATAACAATATTTAAATAAATATTTTACTGAATGTAATGAAGAAAATATAGGTTCCACGTTAATATGAGCATTTAATTTCAAAAGCAAGTATGGATTGTAGGGTACTACAAATCTATTATCAGCAATTCTATTTTTTGAAAATATTATATTTTTACCATCGTTTCTTCGTCTATACATAGGATATCCTGCAGTACTAAATTCCGTTTCATTAGTGAATTGCTTTGGAAATTTTTTTGTACATTTGTTTGTATTTGCATTCATGCAAGGTGAATTCATATTTTGCTTGCCACAAGGTCCATGGATCATGAATTGTTTAACTAAATTAAATAA